TCCCTGACCAAGGAAAAGAGGAAGCAGCTCCTGTGGCTGGAGCTCCTCTCTTGGGGTGGCAGAGCCCTGGAGAGCCAGCTGCACCAACAGCTCCTGGTCCTCCTTCCTCTTGTCTCTCCTGTGGTTCACCAGCCCTGCCACCACTTCCCCTGTGGAGCAGCCGGTACTCCCATCCCTGGACCTGGAGGGTAAGCAAAGGGTTGGGAGCGAGGCTGGGCTGAGATTTGCTGGGAGGTGTCCGGGTGTGGGTGCTGGACCCCAAACCAACCTAAGCCCGAAACACTAATCAAAGCTGTACCCATAACCCAAACTCCTCAACAGCCCAAATCCTCCCCAACCCACATGCCAATCCTAACTGTCATCCTGACCCCTGCCCTGCCCAGCCCTGTCCCTATCCCAGCCTCACCTCACTCTCGCTTGCATCATAACTTGCATCCCTTTCCCAGACATCTACTAACCATCATCTCCATCCAACCCCAGTCCCAACCTTCATCCTCATCCCAACCCCATCACCCTCATCTCCATGTCAACCTCAATCTCTACCCTAATTCCATTCCAAATCCCAGCTCAACTGCAGCCTGACCCTCATCTTTCCTCACTCTAAGCCCAATCCCACTCCACTCCACTCATCACCCTTTCGTTCTTCTGAGCGCAGCACCATCCCTCACAGCTCGGGGAATGGGTGCTCACTCGGGCTGAGAGCATTTACAGCCAGACTGAAGAATGAAATGTGACATTTCAAAGACAATAGACCTCATTTATGGATTATATGGCTTTCAGAGTTAAATGTTTGGCCTCTGTTGGGGGCTTTCCACTATTATGAAGATAATGCACTCTCAGAACTGCCCATCTGTACCCTGTTTTCCTATCTGTGGGGCAGAGCTCTCCAGCTGGCTATGTCACCCCATTTCCCTCCTTGTCCAGCCTAACAGGGAAGTTGTGGGGGAGCCCTGGGGCTGGGAAACAGAAACTTAATCCCACACCCGGGCACAGCTGCCCACAGTGACACTGCCTCTGCCCTTTCATCCCCAGGCCGGACTTGGCCTTTGGAATGGGAGGTCAGGGAATCGGGGTCCCAGCCCGCCATCCCCAGATGTCCTAGGACACTTGATTTCACACAGGCGGCACACATGGGTGTCCGCTGTGTGCCAGGCCACCCCACCCCAAGCGTGATGCAACACATACCAATTCTAGGAGTGAGGATTTAAAACTCTGTCTTCAGAGTGTCCAAGACTTGGAGATAGAAGGATGAACCTTAAGGACTTCCAGTCTAGAAGGCAATGACCTTCTGAACAGCCATTGCCCAGGGGATGGATTTTTTCGGGGCTGCGGTGCTCCTTGTCCCCCCAATACACCCCCTTTCCCCAGGACCTGCAATCATTCCTCTACCACCAGGGGGCGCTAGGTGCACACTAGGACACGCAGCTCAACCCAAGCCCTAGGGGCAGCTACCCCTCAACACCATCAGGCTTTCAAACAGGGACCAGAGGCTCCCTTTCTGGGGTCCTTCTTGCCCTTTCTTTTTCCTGGAAGGTTTTCTGGGCTGAGGCTGGTCTTTGCAGGCTGAGCCAACAAGCTACACTCTGGGGGGACTGACTCCTTTGGAGGTAGGGCTGGGCTAAGTGTAGATGACATCTTCATGATGTGGTTTTGGATGGTTCTAGAAAGGTCCTCTCACACATTCCAAAAGTTCCTGCTGCATTCTGGGGTCAGTGTGTCTAAAACCCCACCATTCCTCCTATAGGTTCAGCGTGCCCTTTCCGGGGCCCCAAATGGGAACGGGAGGGTTGCTGGGGTCAACATGCACATATCTTACTGATGTCCTGGCTGTGGAGGAGCTGACCCTGATACCCAGCATGGCTCTGGGTCTCAGGGCCACACTTGCCCCCAACCATGCCCAGCGGGCTGCCTTTCAGCCCAGCATCCAGGCCATAGCATCCAGGTCACAGGGTCTAGCCTGGGCCTGTGGCCAAGGATCAGGTATGGAGGGTGTGGGTACATCCTCCTGGGAGAGGAGCAGGCCTAGGACTACCCAGAGAACTGGGCCTCAGCAAATGACCAGACCTGTCTGCTAGAGCAGCCCAGCCGGGGGGCTGGGTCCCCTGAGGAACTGGGCTCTTCCTGGCCTTCCCATACCTTTGCCTTTCCCATGCTCCCTGCAAGGACATCCCTCCTCCCTTCACACTTGGCTGAGTACTGCTTCATCATCCTGACAAGCAATTCAGGCCCCATCTAGGCCCTGGTGTCCGCTCAGCCCCTCCCAAGGTGTGCTCCCTGGTAGCCACCAGAATCAGCTGGGCCCCAGCCCTGAGGCTGATGGGCTGGGGGCTGGGAGATGTCATGAGTTTCCTGTCCCCACTTCCAGCCTCCCCAGGCCTTCCCCGTCACTCTGCCGAGTCAGCATTTAGGGCCACAGAGGATTGCAAAGTTGGCAACATGGGTTTTGATATGTGTGTGTGGTAAAATATAAATAACATAAAATTTACTGTTTTAATCATTTTTAGGTGTACAATTCAATGGCATTAAGTACATTCACAATATTGTGTAACCATCACCACTGTCTATTTCTGGAAATTTTTCATCACCCAAAACAGAGACTCTATACCCATTAAACATTAACTCCCCATTCCCTCCTCCCCCCAGGCCCTGGTAACCTCCATTCTACTCTCTGTCTTTATAAATTTGCCTACTCTAGGTACCTCATATAAGTGGAATCATACAATATTTGCCCTTTTGTGTCTGGCTGATTTCACTTAGCATAATATTTTCAAGGTTCATCCATGTTGTAACATGTGTCAGAATTTCATTCCTTCTTATAGCTGAATAATACTCTGTTGTATGGATATACCACATTATTTTTATCCATCCACCTGTTGATAGACAGTTGGGTTCTTTCTACTTTTTGGCTATTGTGCGTAATGCTGCTGTGAACACGGATATGCAAGTATCCTTTTGAGTCCCTGTTTTCAATTCTTTGGGATATATACCTAGGAGTGGAGTTGCTGCATCATGTGGTAATCTATGTCTGACTTTTTGAGAAATCACCAAACTGTTTCCCACAGGGGCTGGACCATTTTACATTCCCACCAGCAGTGCCTGAGGCTTCCAACTCCTCCACATCCTTGTGAACATTTGTTATTTTCTGGTTTTGTTTGTTTGTTAATAGCCATTCTAATGGTAGGAAGTGATAGCTCATTGTGGTTTTGATTTGCATTTCCCTAATGACTAATGTTGAGCATCTTTTCCTGGGCTTATTGGCTATTCGTATATCATCTCTTTGAAGAAATGTCTATTCAAGTCCTTAGCCCATTTTTTGAATTGTGGTTGCTTGAGGTTGTTTGTTGTTGAGTTGTAGGAGTTCTTTTCATATTCTAGATATTGATCTCTTATCAGTTATATGATTTGCAAATATTTTCTCCCATTCTGTGGGTTGTCTTTTCACTCTCTTGCTTGTGTCCTTTGATGCACAAAAGTTTTTACTTTTGATCAAGTCCAATTTATCTATTTTTCCTTTTGTTGCTTGTGCTTTTGATGTCATGCTTAAGAAATCATTGCCTGATTCTAGGTCATGAAGATTTTCACCCAAGTTTTCTACTAACAGTTTTATAGTTTTAGTTATATGTGTTTCTGGCATTTCTCCCCTTCGGATTCCCATCTCTGGCACCCCTTAGAGCCCCCATCCCCACCGGGATCACACCATGGCAGAGGGCCCGTCTTCTTGTGCATGGTATACAGTAGGCATTTTACTCATGTTTGTGGGATATGTGTTGTGCAGGGCCCTTGTGCCCCCTGTTGCACCTAGACTTGCCCTGCCACCAGCTCTAAACCCCCAAGGACCACACCCCTCTCTTGCCCACCGATGCAAGGACTGGGGGGCTCTGCACTGCTGTAGGGCACATGCCCTCAGTCCCAGGTCCTGAGAAACGGGTGCTCACAGGCTGCTGAGGACAAGGCAGGGACAGAGAAGGTTCTGGGGTGCCTACAGGGACCCCAAAGGGGAAGTTTCAGCTAGGAGCCACCTTCAAGCTACACCTTGAAGACTGAATAAGATTTCAGCAGGCAAAGATCATTTGTGGTCAGGAAGGAGCTGGTCAGCTGGAGAGCCCATGGGCAGACAGGGCTGGCCCCAGGGTGGTGTGTAGGGAGCAGGGAACGGGGGCAGAGCCTGAAGTAGGAAATGAAGATCTTGCAGGGATGTATTGGGGCCTATATCTCATGGACAATGGGGAGCCACAGAAGGTTTTTGAGCAGAGGAGTGACTCTTAAAGGCAGCACTTTGGTAAGTGCTCAGTCAAGCCCCGTTGTGTCCATAGCTGGTAAGGCTGGTGGTAGAGGAACAGATCTCAAGAAAGACATTATCATTCTTGCTGGGTGCCTTGGAGTAAGTCACTGAGTCTCTCTGGGCTCCAGTTCCTGCTGGCTTGGGTGGCAGGGAAGGGGCAGGGAAGCAAGGGAAAGGGGAGAAACAGCTGTTCATCTGCTCTGGGGCAGTGTCCGTGAGGGGCTGGGAAAGCAGAACTTGGGGTGGAGCTAAGGTACACACAGAGGGCTTTTCAGGGCATGCCACTGAGTGAGGGCATTCCTGGGCACAGCCTGAGCTGGGAACGTGGGCTCCTGGCTCCCTGCTGACAGCCGCCCCTGAGGTCCTTGGCAGCCCAGCCCTCTCACTGAGTTGGCCTGTGTAGGATGTAGGGACACAGGGCTGGACTCTCAACAGGCTCTGAGGCTGAGGTGCCCTAGGAGCCCCTGGATGCCCGACCAGCACAGTGCGCACCACCCTCTTAGGCACCAGAACCAGCGCAAGAACCTGCCATGGACTTCCTGCTCCAGCTTCTCCCCCTGGCCTTAGCCATCCCAGCGGGTAAGCTTCGCTGGCCTTGCCCGTCTCACAGGGCCCAACCTTGGTGAGTCCAGCCCTCCACTGGCCAGGGCAGACTGGCCTGTGCCTGGTTTGGCTGCTGAGGTTGAAGGAGGGCACAAGGAGGCAGCGGCAGAGAGCAATGACCCTCCCTGGGGTCCCCAGAGGGGCTGCTCCAGGGGTGCATTGCTGGGGGCAGGGCAGGGTTTTGGACCCCATCTGGGGCACCTTCCATGGGGCAGATCTTGGGGCTCAGTGGTGACCCTAGGCCTGCAGCACCCTCCTCTCTATCACATCTCTCCCTCAGGCCTGGCCTCATGGGACGTTTCCAGTCCCCAGGGGGTACAGGGTGTGAAGGGGTCCTGCCTCATCATCCCCTGCGTCTTCAGCTTCCCTGCCAACGTGCAGGTGCCCGACAGCATCACATCCATCTGGTACTACGACTACTCGGGCAATCGGCGGGTGGTGAGCCACTCGGCAGACCCCCAGCTGGTGGAGTCACGCTTCCGCGGTCACACCCAGCTGGTGGGGGACACCGAGCACAAGACGTGCAGCCTGCTGCTGAAGGACCTGCGGCTGGAGGACTCGGGCTCCTATAACTATCGCTTCGAGATCAGTGAGGGCAACCGCTGGTCAGATACCAAAGGCACTGTGGTCACTGTGACAGGTGAGGAGCACAGTGGCCTGGTTACTGCCTGGAAGGGACTCCCAAGCTGCTCCTGGCCCCACTGGCTCACAGCCCCAACCCCAGCCCCAATCATGGCCACAGTTCTGAGCCCTAGCCCCGGCCCTGTGTCCCCCTTGCATTCACCACGAGTGAGCCTGGGGATAGAAGATAGCCTCTCTTTCTCCTGGGAGACCCCTGCCCAGGGCTTGCTCCTCGGCTGAGGTTTCCAGGGCAGGAGGTCTCAGGCGTGGTGAAGGCGAGTCCTGAGCTTCCTGTCTGTCCTCAGAGAAGCCCAGTGTGCCCACCATTGCCTCACCGGCTGAACTTCGAGAGGGCATGGAGGTGGACTTCAACTGCTCCACTCCCTACGCATGCCCCCAGGAGACGGTCAGCCTGAAGTGGCACGGCCAGGACCCCGCTCGTTCAGTCACCTCCACCCTCCAAAAGCTTGAACCCACAGGCGTCAGCCACCTGGAGACGCTTCACATGGCCCTGTCCTGGCAGGACCACGGCCGGACCCTGCACTGCCAGCTCTCGGTGGCCAACCACAGGACTCAGAGCGAGATTCACCTCCGAGTGCAGTGTGAGTGTGCTGGGGGCCACACTCTCATTCCCGAGCATACACCTGTGGCTCCCCGGTGGAAACCAGTCCCTTCTCCAGCCTGTAGAAACAGAGCCCTTCTCCCTGAGACAAGCCAGGCCACATTCAGACCTCCAGGATGGGGCAGGTGGAGAGAGACTGCTAAACCCTAAGAGCTACGTTTAATGGCTCCCTTCTCTCTCCTGTCCTCCAGTCTAGGAGGGCAGAGAAGGGGAGACACAAAGAGCCAGAGAATTAGGGGTTGGGCAGCGAGGGCCCTGGGATTCAGCCCAGCTCTGGAGGATGCTGGGGGGTAGGGGTTCACCCTTTTCCTGCCTAAGGCTCCTTACGCTCAGGGGGATGAGGGTACCATCTGCACATGGCAAAGAGGCCATGGGAGAGAGCCCAAGTTTCCATGTGATTATGCATCTTCCCATCAGAGAGAAACAGGGCAGCCTGTTCTAGAACAGCTGATGTTCTAGATGTCACAGGCATCAGGCTGCTGGCTCCACCACTCACCAGATGAGCAAACTTTGGGCAAGTTACTTGCCTCTCAGAGCCTCCGTTTTCTCACCTGTATGGTAGCAATAAACAGTTCCTATCTCATAGAATTGTTACGAAAATGAAAGGAGTGCGTGGCACATCTTAAGCACTTGAAAATATTAGCTTCTATTATTTCCATATTTACATACATTAAGCACTTGAAATTATTAGCTTTTATTAGCACATTTACATAGCAAGAGGCTTTGGAACAGGATTTAAAGAAATGGAATTTCTTTGTATTGTTGGCACCTTCCTTACAAACGGGTCAACCGTTCTCAGAGCTAATCTGACTCTGCTTTTGGCCCCCTCTGCTAGGTGGTTTGTCCCTGCCAGCAGCTACCACAGGCCACTAAAGGCCCAAATAGAACAGAGGACAATGGACAGTGTCATGAGGCAGAAGGCCATAGGAGGCAGGGTAGGCTAGACGCTAGACCAAGCATTATCAGGCTCTCGATGGAAAAGGAAGGGATGGAGAATTCCTCACAAGGTCGGGGGCAGTGCCCGCCCCAGACAAGGGAACCAATGGGACTGATGGTTTATCTAGGGGGGCTTCCTTAGGTCAGAGTGTTGAAAGAGGAGAAGAGAAGTGCTCCCTGTCCTCCCTGGGCACCATACCCAACCCCTTCTGTCGTGCTTTGCAGATGCCCCAAGGGGTGTGGAGATCCTCCTCAGCCCCTCAGGGCGGAACATCCTGCCAGGTGATCTGGTCACACTCACCTGCCAGGTGAACAACAGCTACCCCGAGGTCAGTTCTGTGCAGTGGGTCAAGGATGGGACGCAGCTTGAAATCCGGAGCCATGTGCTGCAGTTGTCCCAGGCGGCCTGGGACAATGCTGGCGTCTACACCTGCCAAGCTGGGAATGGCGTGGGCTCTTCCGTCTCGCCCCCTGTCAGCCTCCATGTCTTCAGTGAGTCCTGGGTGAGCCTGGGTCTTGACCAGAGGCCAGGGAGGGGTCCAGGCTGCTGGGGCTGAGGGAAGCCAGGCCGAGGTGCCTCCTGGGACGTGGGTGTGGAGTCCCAGCCCTGCCTCAGACAGAGGACAAACCTCCCTGGCAGAGTAGGATGTCGGGAGCCCCCGGTGAACAGGACAAAGAGAGGCAGGGCCAATCCAGGAGGCTCCCCTGCAGAAGGGGCATGATGGAGACTGTGCAGGGGTTTAGGCTGATTGGCTGCAACCCTGGGGCCCTGGGGGGTTGGGCCTGGAAGTCGACTGGGTATCCCCCAGTGTGCCCCATGCCGCCCCCACAGTGGCTAAGGTCCAGGTGAGCCCAGCAGGCACCATCCTGGAGAACCAGACTGTGACGCTGGCCTGCAACACGCCTAGAGAAGCCCCCGGTGAGCTGCGCTACCACTGGTACAAGAACCACGCCCCGTTGGAGGACGCCCACGGCCAGACCCTGCAGCTGCACTCGGCCACCAGGGCCGACACCGGCTTCTACTTCTGCGAGGTGCAGAACGCCCTGGGCAAAGAGCGCTCTGGCCCAGTCAGCGTGGTGGTCAGCCGTAAGTGATCAGGGTGGGGTGGCCAAAGGGTGGAGCCCATGGGTTGGGGGCCTAGGCCCGGGTGGCCTTGAGCTCATGTCCCAGCTCTGCACACCTGGGCAGGGCTTTGACCTCCCTGGGCCTCAGTTTTCTCCTATTTTACAAAACTTTTTATTTTGAAATAAGTTCAAAGTTAGAAAAAGTTACAAGAAAACAAAAAATTATCACATACCTTTAACCTAGATTCCCTATTTGTTAACATTTTGGTACATTTTCTTTCTCTCTCACTCTCTTTTAAGATATACATTATATATGTATGTGTGTGTATATATGTGCATACATATATACATGTACATATGCACATACATGTGTGCATGTGTGTACACGTACTTTCTCTTGCTGTAAACATATATACTAATGCACTCTTTCTAAAAACACATATACACATATGCACTCTATATATACACATACACACATATATATTATCTATCTACCTCTCTATTTATCCGTTTATATTCCTAAAGTTGCAGACATAATGCCCCTTTACCCCTTAATTCCTCAGTGTGTATTTCCTAAGGTCATTCTCATATATAACCACAGTACAATGACTGCAGTCAGGAAATTTGACATTGATACGAGACTATTATCTAATCTATAGTTCATATTTAAAATTTACCAAATGACTCAATAATGTCCTTTATGGCAATTATTTTTTTCTGGTCCAGGATCTAATCTGGGCTCCCACATTGCATTCAGTTCTCATATCCCTGAATTCTCCTTTAATATGAGACAGTTCCTCAGTCTTTCCTGACGTTGAAACTTGAAGAGCACAGGGAGTTGTTCTGTGCATGTCCCTCAGTTTGCATTTGTCTGGTTCGAGTAGACTGAGCCTGTGCTCTTGGGCAGGACCACCGCAGACGTGATGCCGTGTCCGTCTCACTGCATCACATCATGGGGCATGTGATGTGATGTCAGTTTGTCCCATTGCTGATAGTGTTCACTTGGATCACTTGGTCGAGGTGCTGTCCACTGCCCGTCTCTCTACCAGTTTTCCCATCTTTAAAGTGAGGCCCCCATCCTTACTTGCAGGGTTGCCAGAAGGATTAATTGGGATGACAAAGTGAGTTGCCTGGCCCAGGGACAAAAGTGTATTCAGCAGGCACTCAGGGCTGCTGAGGTTGTCCCCTCTCCCGGGGCATTGTGGGCCAAAGGGGGACCCAGGGAGTGCCCCTATCTGAGGGTGACAGGCCACTTGTCTCCACACAGACCCACCCCTTGCCCCAGACCTAACTGCCTTCCTGGAGACGCAGGCAGGGCTGGTGGGCATCCTTCACTGCTCTGTGGTCAGCGAGCCACTGGCCACCCTGGTGCTGTCACACGGGGACCTTGTCCTGGCCTCCACCCTTGGGGAGGGTGACAACAGCCCACGCTTCAGTGTCTCCTCTGCCCCCAACTCCTTGCGCCTGAAGATCCGAAACCTGGGGCCAGCTGACAGTGGGGAGTACACATGCTCGGCCACCAACTCCTTTGGGAGTGCATCCTCCACCCTGGATTTCCACGCCAATGGTAAGACGGCCACAGGGGGCTAGTGTAGGGAGCCCAACGAGGAGGCTTGCTCTGGCCTCTTCCTCCTAGGAGTCCAGAGGGTTCAACTGAGGGGCTGAACTAGCTGGCTAGTAAAAATCACATCAAACACTTGGGCTATACAGTCATCCCAACTTGGGAGGTTCCTGGAAGTCAAGGCAAAAAAGGAAACTAGGCAGGTTGCATTAGTCCTTTTGTGTACATTCTGACTCTGAACTTGAAGGGTCCTTCATATGCATTCCTTTGTTTTTTATTTATCAAACGTTTGGGGCAGGCTCTGTGCTAGGAGTCAGATGCAGGAGGCAAAATAGAGAAGTAGGGTCTTCCAACCCTTGGTGCATGTGATGCCCTTCCCTACTTCTGGGGCCATGGCAGACATAGCTAATCGATCAAGCCAGGTTTTTGACATAAGCCTAGGCTCTGGCTCAGAATCCTTCCCAGCCATGCTGCAGTCAGCTGCTATCAATAGATCAGAACTGGCGTTAAAGGCCACACCCTCCTGATCATCAAGAGATGCACAGAGCTGATGCCACAGACCTACCTACAGTTGTGTGGGGAGAGGAGAAGCCTGGAGGGCTTCCTGCAGCGGGTGGCATGGAGCCACAGATGTGCAGGGGGACTGAGCCTCCCTCTCTCCCTCTTCTACCAGCGGCCCGCCTCCTCATCAGCCCAGCAGCAGAGGTGCTGGAAGGGCAGGCAGTGACGCTGAGCTGCAGGAGTGGCCTGAGCCTGACGCCTGACACCCGCTTCTCCTGGTACCTGAACGGAGCCCTGCTTCTAGAGGGGCCCAGCAGCAGCCTCCTGCTCCCTGCGGCCTCCAGCACTGACGCCGGCTCGTACCACTGTCGGGCCCAGGACAGCCACAGTGCCAGCGGCCCCTCCTCGCCTGCCGTCCTCACAGTGCTCTGTGAGCAGCCTTCCCACCGCACCCTGCCCGCTGTGGGGAGGATCAGCCCACTGGGGCCCACCAGCCACTCTCACCTCCTCTGGGCCCTCCTGACCCTGTCCTGCCCCAGGGACTAGATCAGGAGGGCAGCTGCAGGCCTGTGCACCATGGACCTCTCCACCGAGTGCTGAAATTTGGGGAACAAGGCTGGGGCTTTCTCTACCTCCCCACATCCCATCCTCCAATCCCTCTGCTCCTAGCCTCAAATACACCATGGGCACCATATCCAAGCTTTGTCCTCCTGAGCTGGGTCTGGGATACCATACTCCTATATATGTGCACTCGCCCCATAGGCTGTGCCCTCACAGGGTCCCAGAGACACACAGGCAGAAGCTTTCAGCACAGGGACTGCGTCCTGTCAAGGGTGGATGCTCCATATGAGCCCGAGGGGCCGACCAACGTTCAGGGCACACTTGGCTTCCAGAAAGCCTGACTTGTGCGGGAGCGATGTCCTGGGACTGTGGGGAAGAGCAACCGCCTGTTAGGGGTTTTCCAGTGTCAGAGTGAGATCACGTCGGGGTCTGGGGTGATGGCTGTCTCTGACCATCCATCGCCAGAAGCCTCTGGGAAGAGGGCATTTCAGGCGTTATCCATTATCACAGGAGCTGTCTCGGAGATCAGAGATAAGAGGCAGAGAGGTCTTGGGGGAAGGTTCAGTGGTAGAGGATGGGGTGCAGAGTGGGAGCAGAGAGCAAGACTCCAGAGACTGCTATGTGAGCACCCTGCTCAGGAACACGTGCAGGTTACACAGGGTGGCTGCTAGCCCACACAGCACCTTTGTCCGAGCTAGAAAATGGCACTCTTTCCTCTGGGAAGACTCAGTTCAGCATTAGAGCACAGTTTAGCACAAGGGGCATGGGCTGAATTCCTCCCACCCCAGTCTGGCTGTCTTTGTGCACTGCACAGCCTGCACAGCTGTTTGTGGCAGCTCTGGGCACATGCCTCTGTCCAGTGTGTTCTGGGAGCCTAGCCAGCCTTGAGTGGACCTGTGGGGGCCTGGAAGAGGCCATGGGATGAGTGTCCATGCTCTTCCTCCCTATAGATGCCCCACGCCAGCCCACGTTCACCGCCCGCCTGGACCCCGATGCTGCAGGAGTCGGGGCTGGCCGGCGAGGCCTCCTCTTGTGCCGTGTGGACAGCGACCCTCCAGCCCAGCTGCTGCTGCTCCACAGGGACCGTATTGTGGCCTTCTCCCTGCCATCAGGGGGCGGCTGCAGCACTTGTGGGGGCTGTTCTTGGCGTACAAAGGTCACCAGAGCCCCCAACCTATTGCGTGTGGAGATTCGTGACCCGGTGCTGGAGGACGAGGGTGTGTACCTGTGCGAGGCCAGAAACGCCCTGGGCAATGCCTCCGCCTCGGCGACCTTCAATGCCCAGGGTGAGTCAGGGCAGAGAATGGGTGGCTCATGGTCAGGGGCTGGTACTCAGGACCCTACTCCTCTGCAACCTTCAGCTGCGAGGAGGGTCTATTGGGTAAAACCACCTCTGTTCAGTAGTGGGAGTTCGCTTTCCTCCTTCTGCCCTGTGGGCACCCCAGAGGGTCTCCTTCCTGCCCCCTCCAGGCTGGGAGGCTGGACCGCTGGCCCCCCGGGGTTGGGGGGATGCAGTCAAGGTGAGGCCTGTCTTGAACGGGACTGTGCTGCCTGCTCTCCAGCCACTGTCCTGGTCATCACACCGTCGCACACGCTGCAGGAGGGCACCGGAGCCAACCTGACTTGTAATGTGAGCCGGGAAGCCGACAGTGGCCCTGCCAACTTCTCCTGGTTCCGGAATGGGGCGCTGTGGGCCCAGGGCCCCCTGGAGACCATGACGCTGCTGCCTGTGGCCAGAACGGATGCAGCCCTCTATGCCTGCCGCATCCTCACTGAGGCTGATACCCAGCTGTCTGCCCCAGTGGTCCTGAGTGTGCTCTGTGGGTGACGGGCAAGGGCAAAGTGGGCACTTGGAGGGTGGAGGGGGTGGTCTGGGAGAACAGGGCTGGGGTGAATTTGGGGAGGCAGGAATGTGGCTTGGGCTTGGGCAAAGGTGGGCCTGCACTGTGTATGTGGAGGGGGAGTGGGACATAGTGTGGCAGCTGGGCTGGGGGTGTGGCCTGAGCTCCTCCCATCCCTGCAGATCCCCCGGACCCTCCAAAGCTGTCAGCCCTCCTGGACATGGGCCAGGGCCACATGGCTGTGTTTATCTGCACTGTGGACAGTAGCCCCATGGCCCAGCTGGCCCTGTTCCATGAGGAGCGCCTCCTGGCCACCAGCCCAGGGCCCCAGCTCCCATCCCATGGCCGCCTCCAGGCCAAAGCCACGGCCAACTCTCTGAAGCTAGAGGTCCGAGACCTGGGCCTTGCGGACTCTGGCAGATATCGCTGTGAGGCCACAAATGTCCTCGGATCAGCCAACACCTCCCTCTTCTTCCAGGTCCGAGGTGAGTGTCAGTCCTCTGAAGATGTGGCAGACCCAGATGCCCTGGGGGCTACTCTGGCCAGGCTTTTGGCTGGGTCGTGTGGTTTTTGTGCAGAAATGTGTGTCTTTTTCAGCCATGGTTACCGGACAGCTTCCAGCCTGCTAGCAGGAGGCCTCCCTTTTCTCCAGCTGGATCTTTTCATCTGTAATAACTGTGGCAGCCACTAGGAGGCAGTGGCAATTACACAGCGTGGCTTGCTTGGTTGGAGCACTTTCTGACAGATACTTCTTTTATGATAATATAATTTTGTTATGTAATCAGAATTTTCATACAAAACCTATTATATATGTACAGTATACACATATATGTGTAATGTATGTATATGAATGTATACATGCACATATAGACACATACATATAGACACACATACATGAGAATATATTCATATTCTTCATTAATACACATATTCATATGTATATATTGTGTGTGTACATATATGTATGTGTATATATACATGTGTATTCTTCTATAAAAATCCTCCCTGGGGCCGGCCTGGTGGCGCAAGCGGTTAAGTGCGCGCGTTCCACTGCAGCGGCCCAGGGTTCGCCGGTTTTGACCCCGGGCGCCCACCGATGCACC